TCTGGATTTTCCCCTGAATTGGCCTGCATGCCAGCAACTAAAGAATATAGGCTATTTATTTTAAATATTGTTCTGTGTATATCATTTGAATTTCTTCAATTTCAAACGAATAACCGCTGATTTTCGTATAATTTTTGTAGTATTTCAAATTAATGTACCCCTTCTAATTCTAATCGGATTAAAATCTGGCCGAATTTTGGCCGTTATCGAAAAAAAGTTTGGCCGAATTTGGCCGTAAGATGGCGTGTGTTTGGCCGTGAAGCCATCGTGAAGCCTGTCGACTATCTGGCAACCCTGAATCAGATTGACGCATAACCAACAACAACATTGGATTTGGAGAAGAAGACATGGGCTGAGATTCCACGATCGTTGAGCGTTTGTTCTTTGTCAGGTATGTAATTTAACTACGGCATGAATCTTTCGTAATTTATGAGGTTGGCTTAGGCTAGGCCCAACTGTTCTTCCAAAGGTTGCGTCACTGTGGTGTTTGTATATATATAGGCCCTAGGCCTAGGGTAGGCTCGGGGCCTAGGCAGTTGACGTTGTGGCTTAGCTAGCCTAGGCCTAGGCTAACTTCTTTGTTCCAGGCCTACTACAGTATTAGTACTCTAGCTAGGCCCCAGCTACTAGGCCTAGCGCCTAGGCTAGTGCCCGTTTCCAGACGACTTTGGCCAATTGGTCTGGACGATTGATTACAATAATTAGGCCTGGGCGCCTAGCAAAGAAGGCCTTTTTCACGAATCGGTAGACATCCTGAAGTGATGACAAACAGAAATAAGATAAGCTTTTGGGCTAATTTTCTGACATCATTTTATTTTAAAAATCGTAATTCCATAACTGGCGTCGTATCCAAAAATTTTTTCCAGCAAAATGGAGAAAGTCGTCAAACAGATTTCTTTGTACAATATTTTTTTTTTTACAGCCATGCAGTATGTACGATTTGTGTACAATTGTCTTGTCTTTCTCTCCTAGTCATTTCGTAGGCTAGGCCTAGGTAGGAATGACGCTAGCCAGCCAAAGCCTATAACATCGCACAATTGAAGCCACGTGGGCCGCGTAGACTGTAACGCTTATTTAAATCTATT